GAGTCCCTCACACACCCACGATGCTTTAGGCACAGTGCTGTAGGGCGGCTGTGGCCTGAGAAGGAGGACCTCTGTTCTTACAGGGTGCATGTCCTTCTATTTGGGAGTGCACCCAGCTGTATCAGGGAAGTGCCACGACGGGAGGCGTGAGACTTAGGGTCTTCAAGTTCAGGTAGGAAACACGGGAGGGCTTCCCGGAGGCAGTGAGGCCGTATGACCCTGCAGCCTCCTGCTCTCCGCACACGGCCCCTGTCTCTACCTCACCCACCCACTTTTTCAACACCCCAGCTTCTCTTCTCACCTCTCCCCTCCCCCTCCTCCTTTTATTTTGTTCCAAACTTCTGCCCTAACTCCTCTCCTTGCCTGGGGCAGCAGGTACATGGGGAGTGGGCTACAGATTGGGATGGGGATGCAGGGACCTGCCACAGAGGGCAGTGCTGGGGACTTGATGTCACAGTGTCTATCAGAAGGGCTGCTCCATGCCTGTGACTGTCCCTCAGCCCACCGCGGCTCCTCACATGGCACCATTAGAGTGGAGGGCGCCACCAGGAGTTGAGAGAGCCTTTAAGAGAGATCTTTAGTACTCCGGCGGTGCAATCGGCTAGCACGCGGTATTTTTACGAGAGATGAGTTCTTCTAGCCCAGGTTCCAGAATGACCCCAGTGCTGCATGCCCTACCTAGACTCGGCCTGTGGCCAGCGTCTTTGGGGCAGTCTGGCCACCCTTCCTGTCGGTAATGCACCTGTGACAGCTTACTGTGTCCCCAGTGAGACGGAACTGGCTGCTCAAAACACCCTCCACTGATGACGCTTTGTAACACATTGGTTAACCCTAGTCCTTCCAGCTCCAGCCTGTCTTTGAAGGCTGGCCAGCCTCGATGGCAAGCAGGACACTCTGACTCCCACCCCGAGCTTCCCAGGACCTAAGGTTGCACTCAGGGAGGAGGATTGAGGGAGGCAATGTCGTGCATTGCTGCTCTACGTAAGCTCTAGGACAGCGGGGCTGCTGTCTTCCTCTGCTGCCATTTGGGGTCCCAGAATTTCATTTTGGGTGAGGATCCTATGAAAATTTCATTCAAATGTTCTAGAAGAAATGGAAAAAAACGACTCTGTCCACTGATGTAGCTACAGGGTACAGGGGACCGACACCCCCTTGCTTGCCTTTCGGTAAGAGCACAGCTTTCAAAGGCCCTGCATATATGTGAGCTGGACCCTGCCCTCTCCTGCAAGTCTTTGTATCATTGTCATGATCTTCTAGGTCCCTGCCTAATGTATCAAGTGATACTGTCATTGTCATCACACACTCAAGATAGCATTAGACCAAGAGGTTCGTTTGCTTGTTTCAGGGTTAGGAGAGTGTACTGGGCGTGTACCCCAGAACTGGCCCATGCCTGAGATACACTAAGATCCCTTATTTGAGGTAATGGGAAGAATGATGAAAGCTATGCATGTATCAGATTGTCTGGTCACGGGGCTTAGAGGTAGAGCTGGGGGACCTTGACCAAGGCCCTGAAGAGCTAAGCAGGTTATCCAGATCACTCTCTGCATTGCTGGGAACACTAGGAGAGGCTGCAGGTCCAGGCAGGACTGGAAATCAGCCCCAGGTTCTTCCCTTTCATGCGGGGCGGGGGCTCTCCTAGTCTGTTACTTTGCAAAGATCCTCATTATCTTTCAACCACAAAAGCGCTCTGGAAAGCCGGAGATACGTAGGATGACAGAGCACAGACCAAAGGTTTCCCGTGGTGGCCCTGGGACCTGGGCATAAAGTTGCCCTGGATGCAGGGGAGCAGCGTGCGAAGCTGAGGACAGCATCTTCTCTACCCTTTACATTCGTGACTGATTGCTGAAATCCCCAGACCTTTCCAATAAACAGGAGCTCCTTCTGCCAGTCTGCTTTATACCTTGGAACTCTTCAGAGTCTGTAGAGATGGAGCCAAAGCAGAGAAGAATTGCGTACCCTCCTTAACATGATGGCTTAGGAAAGGGCCTCCAGCTGCTGGGGGCAGCCACACGGGGGATCCTGAGCTCAGTGACCCTTCCTTCAGCAAACCGAATCAAGTGGGTTACCTCCTTCTGAGACCTGGTGGTGAGCGTAGGTGATTTGTGTGTGTGTGTGTGTGTGTGTGTGTGTGTGTGTGTGTGTGTGTGGTTTTGTCACAGGCCTCCCGTTGTTATCTTGCAGACCTCTCTGGGCTGTGGCACCCTGCTGTCAGGAAGCTGGCATTCAGCGTGGCAGCAAGGACCCAAAAGTACCTCAGGCAAAGACAGTGCACCGAATAGATGTTAATGTTCAGATGACAAGGGCACAGAGGCTTGTCACAAGGAGCGACCCCTTCCACTTCTCTAGAAGTAACCCTGGTCACTTTAGGAGACTGGGAACTAAAAGCTTGCTGTGGCACGGGTTCCTACATGACTGGGAGCTTCTGTACACTCACTGGAAGCAGAGCTGGTAGCCTAGGAGATTCCCACCCTCCTCGAGAATCACAGCTCCTTAAGGACATCCTTGCCATCAGCCTGGCCGAGAAGCAGCCGGCCAAAGCCCCAGGTGTGGATTACCCACTCACTAGGTAGGGCTCTCCTCCGGCTTCCCGGCATGGCTCTCCTCCTCTTCCCTCAGCCCGTGCCTCTCTATCAAGGCAGAAATATCACCATCAAAGAAACCCTGGGAAGGGACTCGGGGAAAATCAGAGACAGGATCGAGGCAGAAATGCAGCACAATGAGTCCCCCCCGCCTCCCCCAGTCTGCCCCCCACCCCAGCAGACTTCAAAAGGTCAGTCAGACTCTGGAGCCCCGTGTGATGACCTCACAATCAAACTATTCCTTCACTGTTCCCTTCTCATCTAAACTCTGCACACATGTAAGGCAGACAGGGGTTCTGGTGGGAGGAAAAACCCCACCCCCACCCCCACCCCGTGCCTCCAGGTGCTGCCTACAGCAACTGGGCTCCAGACCCCTCACACTTGAATTTTCCAGAAAGGATGAGCCAAATCCCTGTGTAAATCGCCCCTGTCTCCGGCATCCTTTCTTCCCGATTTTCCAGCAGTTGGAGCCCCCGTCCAGAGAAAGGAGATGGTGTCATTTTGATGGTGACCATCCTACAGGCCTTTGGTCCTCAAACCTAGACATGCTACTGAAGGGTTTCTGCCTAGGTTCCAACCACAGGAAAATGATCCCAGGGAAAGATGGGGCTGTTATGGCATGTGCATATCTCTTAGCAAGCACCGGTGCCATTCTCCGGGACCAGAGCACCAGGGCTAGCTGAAATTCAGAGGACCCAGGTCAGGTGCGTGGAACCGCACAACAGGGCCACACCCCCGACCTGGGTTGTCACCTCCTTTTATTTTATAAGCGTGCACCACCCTTGTTCACATACTATCTGAGGCTCCTTTCACGCTGCCATCGCAGGTCAGAACTGTGGCAGGGACCCTAACATCTGCAGGAAAATGGGGTTCGCCGGCCCTTCACTGGTTTGCTGACTTCTGGCCTGTCGCATGAACCTGTAAGTCTCTTGTGTCCCACAGTAGCTGGCTTTGGGTCCACTTAGACGAGGGCAGGTAGCATAGGGTGTTGGTTGCAGGGAAGTCGTACTCGTGTTGACACAGGAGTTCCTGGAGTGGAGCATCTGCAGTTAGGCGACGTTGCCAACTCCGTTGTCCTTTCCATGGGTGTTCTCTTCCCCTAGAAACTCAAACACTCAGGCAACTCCTTCAGAAGATGCCACTGCTGGCAAAACATCAATGGCCTCTAGAGCAGAGGCTGTCTCTCTGTCCCATATAGCCTTGACCTGACTTTGCAAAAAGGGAAACTGAGACCCAGTGAAGAGAAAGTTCTCCTCCTAGGGCACACAAGAAGCCCGTGGCCTTATTGGCACGGGTCTCCGGTCCTCAAGGCCAGGGTACCTGAATCATAGCAGGCCGCCATATTGCTTTTTGTATGCCGGTCTTCAGTGGCCTTGGCACCCTCTAGGGAGCAGCAAGAGAGCCTGTGACTCAGCAGATTCTCCCCCTGAAGAGCATGTTCCCTGTTGGTTCTTAAGCGCAGCTGATTGTGGGTGATTATTCACATAAATTACACCTGTCCTCCCCTACACAATGCCAGGCCCGGGTAATGTGATCTCCTTGAAAGAGGAACCTGTTTTGTTTTTCAAAGGGTGATTATAAATTAGATATGAATGCAGGCTTAGGAGCCTGGCAGACATTCTTCTAAGGAATCCTTTATCTTACGTGTATTTGCTGAGCAACCTTTGTAGAAGTTAGGCCACTCTTAGAATCGGAACACAGCCTTGAGGTTTAAGAGTTCTAAGGGATTTGAGCCAGGGCTACTCAGAGAAAGTATAATAAGCCTGATTCCCTTTCCTTGAAGACTTTCTATAAACCCCAGCTGACTGTTTGAGTCAAAACATGAATTGTGCTCCAGAGGCGATGTAGCAACTCCCTGGAGACTGACTCACATCTCATAAGCAAGATGCAAGGATATCTGGGGTCCAGAATGCAGGGGAACTAGCGCTCCCTCCTACTTTCAGGAATGAAATGTCTGTGGCTGATGTGATCTGGCAGAGACAGAAAGGAAAAAAGGCAGAGAATCCAAATGCGTAATTGAAGGGTAGACATGCCTTGATTGTAAAGGAGATAGGGTCCTGCTGGCCCGGGCCCAGGAACTCCCACCTCTTGGTGGGTCTCATCATGTAGACACAGGCGTATAGACTTCAAAGATCAGCTCTGGCTTCTGCTCCATGCGTATGACTCCCTTACTACAAGTGCAACCTTGGCTGTAGCCCCTCTGAGATTCACTTTTCTTGCTCGTAACCAAAACCAGCAGGTTCACAGCGGGAGCAGTCTCATCCCCTCTCCAACCACGCAGGACATGTAATAAGATCTGGAGACATTTTTGGTCATTACAGCAGGGTTCTATCTGTGTGGTTGGAGGCAGGGGAACATTGTTCAATATCCCCCCATTCACAGAACAGCTCCTTACTACAAAGAATGATAAAGCAGGACCAGTGAGATGTCTCAGCAGATGAGGTTCACTGCCAAACCTGAGGATCAGAGTTCAATCCCTGGGCCTCCCCCATGGTTGGCGTGAATCACCTTCCATGAACTACACTCTGCCCTCCACACAAGCTGGTGGCCCATGCACACTCCCCACACACATGCAAATAAGTACGTGTAACAAAAATAAAATAAAAACAATCACCAAAGAGTTCGCATCTTGCCCCCCAAATCAGAAATGTCGAGGCTGAGAACCCTACCTAGCCGCAAGGAACAAGGCTTTGCTGATTATTGTGTCTGCACCATACAGTGCCAAGCATGCACGTGTTAATCACTCAAGGAGCATCTGTGGGGCGAAGAACACATGGATGAATAGGAGGAGTTTTCCACATCTGCTGTCAGAGTGCTAAGATTTCTTCTGCCAAATGAAATATGGGCGCCCCGTGCCCAGCACGCTGCTCCGCACACAGTAGGGACTCAAGGAGTGACAGCTCAGAGTCACGCCAGGAAACTCACCTGACTTTGCTTCATGCTCCTTTTAAATAAGAATTCACTTGTTTTCATCCTTTGCCAAGACAATAGGCAGTCTGTGCAGGCAAAAAGCCCAGTGGGGCTTTTACAAATATTGGTTTACAAAGAATCTGTTTCATCTTGTGTTTTTCAGATAGGTAAGCCAAGGGCCACTTGGTTGTGCCTTCATTTCCTTTCCCGCTGGCAGACTTCTCCCAGGCAGGGTTTTGTTTCTCTGAAATTATTGTTTCGTTGCTTTGTTGTTCTGAAGAAACCTGTTGGTTAATATTAATGTATTTTTTTTTTATCTTGGGCCATTTCCTTCCGGTTCCCTTTTTTCCAATCTGCCATAATTTTGTGCAGTGTCCTTTCTAATACCCCAACTGCTGACAGGGCCCTTTCATGTACTTGTTACCCTCAAGCTTCAGGAAGTCTGTGGGCGGGCAATCTACCAGCTCCATTAGACAGATAAGGAAACCGAGGCTCAGCAAATGAATTTCCAGGGAGTGAGTCAGGAGCCTCTGGCTGTACCTCACAACTCCTCCGAGAATTCGGAAAGTGGAGAAGATTTGGGGACAGAGGTCAGAGAAAGGAGGGGACTTGTTAAAGCCCTCCAGGAAGTGGGGCTCTCCTGATTTCCTCCCCTGCCAGGAAATCATTTGCTGCTACAACAGAACCTGTTCTGAATTCACTTAGAGGAGGGTTTATATTCTGCAGTGAGGTCAAGGGAGGATCTCTGGCTGGGGTCTTATTCTTCTTCTAACTTCCTCTGATCGCTGCATTCCTTAATGAAGGCCAGCCTCAGGTTCCCTCCTCAGAAGCAGAAGTGACATGACGCTGTCGTGATGGCCAATAGGGATCAAGGGAATACATGGGCATGTGAGCAGGGTTCCTGTGAGACTTGTTCTATCTCCCCTTCCCTTCTTCTCCCCGCTCCCAAGTCTAGCATTGGCAAATTGACGCTTCTGAGATAGTGACTCATGACTTCATGATGAAAACAAGCATGGTATGCTGGTGTTTTTTTTTTTTTTAAGGCTCTATTACTCTCAAACTCCCCATGAAAGTCAGTAAACATGCACAATGTCTGCTACTCCTTTCAACGCCTCTACGTGTTATCTAGATTTTTCTGTTTGTCTCACAGATAAGGTTCTTGAATCCCAGAAGAGCCTAGATTATGATTCAAGGCTACACAGCTAACCATAAGCAAGGACAGGACTGGGCTCAACGTTCCCCCCGTGGGTGGATTAAACTACCCAAAGACATTTACTGTGCATTAAGTAGCCAGGAGAGTATTTCCTGACCACACCACACCCAGGACAGAACCATGGTGACCAAGATGTCCTCCTCCTGGGAGGCATAGTGACATGTGTGCTCTTGCTGGCCCCCTATGCTATCAGCTGTGTCAGCTAGTGTCCCTGGGAAGAGGATGACCTTAATGCTTCCAGCTGGGAACAGCTGATAGCACCAAGGGAGGGCAGGGAGGCTCCAACTGCAACCCGCCGCAGCACAAGTACCTCAATTGTGTGCCCAGCTTCTCTGAAGACCGTGGCCTGGGCTGTCCCCTCAAGCTTCCTGAACTGCTGCTTGCCAGAATCCACTGTGTGGGACGCCGTCCTGTTGGCTTATCTTCAGGGGTTTCCTGGGGACAAGGGTACTTCATGGCTTGGAGACCACACGGGCTGATATCTCTGACAAACCTGTTGGGGCTTTCATATTACAAACACAGCAGCTGCCTGCGACAAATATTGACTTTGGGTTCAAATTCTCTCACAGATGGCCACCCTTGAGAGAGCCCCAACCCAGGCCTCAAAGGCCATGCTGTGGAACTCCAGAACAACGGGAGATGCCCGTTGACACCCCCCAGGTGGCCCTCAGCTACCAGGGCCCCAGCACCTTGAAGTTTTAGTCTCCTTGGGAGAAGAGTTGCAAGACCCCCATAGACACCTGTGAAGGTTCCCGTGCGTGGCCGAGTGACAAAGCACTGGGAGCCGCATGGTCCCGCTTCTCTTGCCTGTTGCTCAGATAAACACCATGAGCAAAAGCAGCTTGGGGAGGAGGGGAGGCTTGTTCGACTCACAAGTTGGCAACTCATCGTCTAAAGAATCCAAGGCGGGAACGGAAGCTGGGGCCACTGCTTAGTAGCTCGATCTCCCGACTTGCTCAACCACCTTCCTGATATAGGCCTGGCCCACCTGTGGCCTATCGCACAGCCCACTAGGCCCTCCTAAACAAGTTAGCGATCAAGAGAATGCCGCCCCCCAGATACGCCCACAGGCCAACCTGATTCCCTCTTCCCTGGTATATTTGGTTGGTGTGTCAAGCGGACAGAAAGCTAACTAGCACACCCAACGCCAAACTATATCCCATCATGCTTCTGAGACCAGAGGTTCAATATGAAGGTGCAAGCGTGCCAGGTTTTCTCTGAAGGGTCCAGAGGAAGACACTCCCTTGTGTTCTTTGGCGCTCCGTACCTCGTTAGGTGTCTCCTTCCAGTTCGCTCACAGGAATCCTGTGTCTGTGTGTCCATCTTTCTCCTCCCTTCTGCCTATATTGGTTGTTTACGATTTGCCGAGCAAACCCAGAGTGACTCTATTAAGTCACCCCCGTATATGCATCACTGTTTCTAAGTAAGACCGTATCCGCAGGCTCATGGTCAGCCAACGTGAATGCTTATTGAATTAGATGACCAACTGGATGGATGAGCAAGTGGGTGAGAAGGTCCGCAGAAAGCGAAGAGTGACTGCGTACCACCAGCCCAACTGAGGGCAGGCTGGCACACACAAAGGTACTAGAAAGGACTTGACTGCGGGTTGCAGAGGGACTCAGCTCAGCTCGTGCTGCTCATGGGTGTGTTTGTCTGTTAGAGAGAGAGACTGTCTGGCTCCCTATCCCTTTGGTTCAATCTCCATTTGGCCTGGATAGATCTTTCTAAACCACACATTTACCCACTTTTCAGTGGTACCCCTCTGCCCTAAAGGAAGCGTCCTACCTCCACAATGCAGTCAAAAGGCCCCTCATAGACTTGCCCTACCCGTCTCTCCTCCGCCTTGTCCATCACATCCGTGAGAAGACTCCCCTGTCTAGCGGCCTCTGGTCCACGTGACTCCGTGCTGCTTCCGGCCTTCCTATTTGTTGATCTTCCCTTAGAACATTCCCTTCTTCTCTTTCCTCAGAGCTCCAGCCTGAGTGTCCAACCAGAGTCTTTTCTGAATTTCAGGCTACTTCTGTGGCACCTGTCTGCCCACGCACCCCAGGAAGCTCACTTAGCATACAAGAGAGCCATGTCGGGGGTATTCCTCTTTGGCCCCAATTTTCTACAAACCTCAAATATCAGGGGGCTATGTATTACTGACTCCACGGCCCTACTTCATGGCTAGAAAAAAATAAATACCTACCGTATCGAATAATCACTTGTATGTAGGTGGGAGGGGAGATGGGGATTATTTTTTAAGTAGAAAGTGAAAATAACATTATTGTACCTTTCTCCTTAATTTTGTGGAAACTGGGAAGTTTTCTGCTTCTCTGCTAATGTCCCCTGCCACCCAACTCAACCAGTGGCACACTCCCAGAAAAATGTTGCTCAGAGACGGCCAGGCCCTAGGACTTGGCTGGAATTGAGCGCTGGCCAGTAGGGCAGTTACTACAGTCTGGCTTTCCCTCCGGGAACGCCCAGTACAGGCCACACCGAAGGCCTTGGGGCGTAGATATGGTGAGGGCTTCCAGCTCGTTTCTTTCTTCAAGACTGAGTTAGTAAGCACCCTCAACCAAGGCCTTGTGCTTTGGTAGTGGGACTCTTTTTGCATGATTGACTGCCTCGGCCCACTGAAGAATTAAACGCTGTAATTCCTCTGTCTCTCTTTTTTCATTGTGTTTAGCCAAAACAAGCTGTGAAAGAATGCGAAATGTATCCTTTTGTTGGCACCCGTTCATAAGTGAGTCAGTGAGCTTGCTCGCATTGACAACTGAAATTGGATTCTAACCTCCCCAAAACTTATGACAACTGCTCCTTCTTGCGGCTTAAACGCCTACAGATAATTAATCTAAGACTTCTTCCTGAGGCATCCTGTCCAGGTTTGTACCTGGCACAGAAATACCCTTGAGAGTTTATCTGACGAGGGAACCATGACTTACACCCCACCCCACCCCACCCCACCCCTATCCTCCCCCCCTCACTTCCCCACTCTGCCTCCCCCCCCAGGAGCTTTGTAAAGTGAGGTGGCCCACACCAAAAGGAAGAACCCAAGAGAAAGCTTAAGGATGCTGACGAAGCTGCCTGCTGGTGGGAGGAAGCTTGGGGTTCCTCTGCCACCGCTCCTCCCGGCCCCTGTGATGAACTAACTCACTCTGTTCTGCACACTCCGTTTCATGAAGGCGGCAGGGTTTGTTCATGCCCAACCCAAGACTATCTGAAGTATGAACACCCAGGCTATGCTTTCTGCTCTCTGACCCAGCGGTCCTGGTGGCCAGCTCTTTCTTCCATGTGGTGTTAGTTGGCGGGCAGACGTCTTTAAGGATTGCTGCTAGTTGGGCTTGCTGCCGGGCGGGAGGCTGTATGTGAGCAAGGGCACTATCCTTGTTTCACTGCTGTGACAAAATGCCTCGCTAGGCACACATGAGGAGGGAGAAGAAAGGTTATACTGGCTTACAGTTTGCAGAATACAAGTCTGTCAAGCAGGGAAAAGCAGGAGAGGGAGGGAATTGGCCACATTGTGTCTGTAGTCAGGAAGCAGAGAGAACCAGTGCTGTTGTTCAGCTCATGGCTTCTGTTGTTGCTCTTTTGTTTTGGTTTTGTTTTGTTTTGTTTTTTGTTTTGTTTTGGTTTTTTGCCATCCTGGACTCCAGCCCCCAGAGAAGTGTGCCGCCACATTTAGAGTAGATCTTCCCATCGCGCTAAGTCCTTGATAGGTGTGCTCAGAGGCCGCCCTTCATGGTGATTCTAGCGACTATCAGGTTGACAACACAAACCCTGTCAGAAGGATTCATCTGTTCTTCTCACCTGAGGCTGTGACAGTTATTGCCTTTACATTAGTGGTGAGAAAAGGGAATGGGGGCAGAGAGACAGAGCAGAGATTTACCCAGGGTCACTCAAACTAGAAAGGGGGAGCACTCACAGGAGGTGTATAGACACAGTTAGACTCTGTCACACTGTCACATTTAAGGACCAGTGTAACTTGTCCTCTTTCTACCCACCGCCTGGGTCCTGCTGCTGTCTCAGCCCCCAAATAACACAAGAGACACTATATTAATTATGAAGCTGTTGGCCGTTTGCTATGGTTTAGCATTGGCTAGCTTTGACTTAATTATTAACCCATAATTACTAATCTATATATTTTCACAAGGACTCATCTTACCGAGGACACAGCCTCATGCGTCCTTTCTTCCCGAGATCACATGGAGACTCCCTCCTCTTGACTACATTTCCCAGAATACTCCTTGACTCCTAGTCCCACCTATCTTGCTCCCCTAATGGCCAACAGTGCTTTATTTATCAACCAGTAAGACACATATTTACAGAATGACATCTCCCATCAGACCAGGACAACAGCAAACTCTCCAGGTCACTCAGCACTAAGACTGCCTGGGATATGGTAAGCACTGGGTAAGTTATCACCAAGGGACTCAACTCTCTCCTTAATCCATTCTTGGTAGGTATATTAGAAGCACTGAAGTGAGTGAGACACACCCAGCCCATCTTCAGGAAGGCCACCAGAGGCAGGAAGGTCTCAGTCAAATAATAACAGATGTGTGATGTCTTTTTGCCCCTGTAAACCAGGAGTTGCTGGCAGACATTGGGAAGAGAATGTAGGAAAGGGTTTGGCAGAGACCAGGAACCACAGTCAAGGAAAGTCCCGGAGGAGGTAACCCTGAAGCTGGCCCCTGTGGATAGGCAGAGGGTGGCCAGGTAAAGGCTAGGGCCACAGTGCTCAGGTCTGAAGGAACTGTGTGCGAAGGGTCAATGGACCTCCTATCCGTTGACTGGCGCCCAAGCAGAGGGTCAATGTATCTTCTGGTTTGGGAGTGCTGCCCACTCTCAGGGCTGGCTTCCAAGGTCAGGGCTGGCTGTCGGAGGACTTTGTCATCCAGTTGGGCTGGATACAGAAGCTGTATGGTTAGTCTTAAAATTGATTGGGGGTCTGGAGAGATGGCTCAGTGGTTAAGAGCACTGGCTTCCCTTCTGGAGGACCAGTCTTCAATTCCCAGCACCCACATAGCAGCTCACGACTGTCTGTAACTCCAGTTCCAGGGGGATCTGACACCCTCACACCAATGCACATAAAATAAAAATTTTAATAAATTTTAAAAAAAATATTGATTGGTATCAGGCACCCCCTTCTTCCATACTCCATCCCCTTGGTCTCTGGTTGGTTCCCATTCTGGAAGCTGAGACTGCCCTAGAAGAATGAAGTCAAGCCTACCAGGATCTTAGAATTTCATGAGGAACCTTCTAGCTAGTTCATGTATCATGAAAACACACTTTCTCCTCCTCACGCTGCAAAGTGACCAGTGACAAAGCTGTGTAGAAATCCTTCCCTCTCAGAGAACCTCCAGATAGATGTGTCACTCGTGTGTGATAACAGGGAGCCCCGTAATGATGAGAGAGCAGGCCATCGGAGAGGCCATTGTTAGCGTGCTCTGGTTCTGCTTGGAGCTTTGGTGTCCTGGGGCAATCACAGAGTTCTCTGTGATTCCTGACCTGCAGGAGAGATGGAGGCGGAGGGCTGCAGCAGTGCTGGGTCCCTGCGCTTGGTGTGCAGACCTCCAAGGACAGACTTCACCATGGGACTTAAATATAAATTCAAACCAGAGAGCATGTCTGGTTTTTGGCGCTGCGAGAATGTGACTGGCCTTAGAGTCCCTCCGAAATAATCTCTGCCTTTATCACACTCCTCATTCTTCGGAGGGGGATGTCATCATTTCCCTTTTTAGTGGCCCACTGGGCAGTGGGGTTCCCTGTGCTAAGAAAGTATGTACATGCAAGCATTTTCGCAGATGTCTGGAGCTGTCCTTTGCTTTGTGCTTTGCATACAACTTTGTAGCCTATGGAAGTCACAGAGTGGGTACTCCAGGAATACCGTTGTGGAACTCAGATACTTGAGGATGTTTTTTGCTCTATCCATGCCTGTAGCAAAAGATGAGTGATACTGCCAACTCCTCCAAAGCATTGTTCAGTAATTATACGGTATTCTATAGTATCTTGGCCAGTTCTGCCTGTCAACATACAGTGCGATGATACATTGTATAGGAACCAGGATGGCACC